TTTTTATTTTAAGAAAAAGTTAAATGGAAATACCTTAATTATTAATTTATTTCAATCTGATGTGCACACGAGAGCAACAAGTTAAAATTAAGCACAACTATTAAATCTATTTTTAGTGACAGATATAATATTATTTTCAGAATATTTACATGTCCAAATTATCATCTCAATAAAAATTGATGAAATATAATTTGGTTGGCTCAAACTTAAATCATTATCATTAAGGATTTTCTTTATTAGTTATTAAACATATTTTTAAATTCAATTTGTAAAAATATCTTTCTTAAATTTACTATTTATTTTTAATTTGAAATTTTCAGTACTTTTCTTATTTCCTAATTATAATTTTTACAAAGTTCGTTATAAGATTTACAAAATATATTTTACTTGCACTAAACCCGATTCAATGATTGAAAATTTGATTTTAAAATTAAAATAATTTTAATGGGTTTAACGTGTTTTTCAACGTCGACGAACATCTGGTTCACATTGTGAATTTACACATTTTTTGTGCACAACTTTTATAACATTTATACAAGACTCTAAGGACTAAGGAACCTGTAATTATTTCCTTATTAAAAAATTAGCTTGCATTCATATTACATACTATATATTTTAAATTTTAAAATCTAATTTCAATATTCGATACATATAGATAAAAAAAATCATAAGTGATGCGAAGTGTGTGATCATATTTATACAAATTTAACCTCTCCTCTACAAAAAGAATTTCGAAAAATGATACTTAAACACAACTCCATTTTCTTCCTTTAGTGAAGTGAATAGAAAATTTTGAAATAAATAGGTGCCAACACAAGCGTTACGTAATTTGACGATTACTTTTTCCAGTTGCAATGAGAATGTAATTAAAAATATAGTATGAGCAAATATTTTAAAAAAATGTGCAGCACATTGAAACAAATACTGCAAACATGCATAACACAGTTTTTTTTACATCAAAAACCAAATTTCTTACGTCATCAAATCTTTGCATCAAAAAAATTTTTACATCAACTATTTTTACATAAAAAAATCAAATTGCTGAAGTATTAACTTAGCTACAACTACAAAAAATATTCTGTACTCATAAATCGTAGCAGTATGTTATAGAATCATTGTAATGGATAAGTAAATAGAGACTTTATCGCATAGAAATTCACTACCTAATTTCATGTTAAGACCAAAAGTAAAGATAACATCTTTCGTTTTTTTTCTTTCATTATGAAAAAATTCGTACTTAGAAATGTTTGTTATCTACTCTTAAAATGGAAGCTCAAAATAATAAATTTATAGGCAATGTTCCGGAAAAAAATTATGTACTGCGAACATTTAGTTAGACCTTGTGGTGCCCCCCTATCCTCTGGTGCCCTAAGCCGTAACCTCCGAGAAAATAGATCAGTGATTCTCAACCTTTTTTTTTTTGTGGCGGCACACTTTTAACGATTTCGAAATTTGACGGCACACAATGAAAAAAATTAGTTTAAGAGTTGTTTACTAACCTATAATACACTGTGTTAAATAGTTTGTGATAATAATTTTGAATGTGAAATAAAATAATGTGTACTACAAAAGCACGTTTATTAAGAGATTAATTATTTCTTTCGACTAATTTTTTATTAGTTAGTAACAGTTATTTATTTTTTTTGCTAGTTATTAATTGTTAACTTGTTTTCTATATTTATTAACTGTTATTTTTTTGTAATTTCTTGTTAACTAGTTTTTTTTTTTTTTTGCTAATTATCAAATTGTTAGCTTATTTTTTTTGTTAGTTATCATTTGTTAATTTGCTTTTATAACTATTAATTGCATAGCTTACTTTAATGATTAGCTTTTATTTCCGTTTGAAAGCTAATATTTAGCTTTCTTTTGTTAATTAATAATTTTAATAATCATTAAATTTTCTACTTATTTCATTATTTTTTAAAATTGCCAAAGACAATTTAAACGCTTCCTTCTTATTTTCACTTATTTTAAGATTGTCAGAGACAAGACAATCGCCGACAAAATGTTCACGCGGTTAAAGCCTGGAAAAAATTATAAAAAGTATATGTACATATATATATACACTTTTCTTTAATTTAAACTTTACTCATAATAAAAAAAAGTATTAAAATTTTTTTTGTATCATTTCTAATATTAGGCGGCACATTTTAAGAATTTGGCGGCACACAAAAGTGCCGCGGCACAGTGGTTGAGAATCACTGCTCTAGAATATCCAATGGATAGTTTGTATT